CTTCAATTTAGGCAATTTAAGATACAAGCTTTTTGTCTTCAATGACTAAGCTAGTTTGTATTTATGAATGCTTACACTTCTTCCTTTTATGATTCATCAAGGAACAATACCTAATGCTTTTTTCCAATGCACTAAGGAAATAAATATGATATCAATAAAAACATAGAAGCGTGTGGACTTAACCTAATCAATAAGTCAAATCTAATGATGCCATACATTCAAGGAGTAGTTCAACTCACCACGAAAAATAAAATCACGTTTGATGATCTTCCCTAAATGGAGATCACAACTAAACAAAACAAATCTGATACCTCTATTCCACCAGTAGTTGACAGATTCCGGACAAGAATCAGTTAAAATACCCTAATGATGATATTTATGAATTTTTCAGGGAGAAAAAAGTAGAGCACTCCCACAAAACGATCACCACATTTCGAAATCTGCAGCGAATTTGCAAATAAAAACAATCATACAGTAATAAGAAATAGCAGTACCCGTCTCTCATTAGAAGCAGCGTTTTGAGTAGCGTCAGGGAGGAGACCCTCGCGACGCTTCTTGAGAAGGTTATCCTCGCGCTTACTCTTCCTGATCTCAACCAGGTTGTCCTCCCTCCGCCGCCGTGCTTCGTCTCCATCCACTCCGGTCTTGTACGACTTCTTCCGTACTTCGGTTCGCGTACCCGGTCGCAGAGACATTTTCGGAATTCAGTTAGGGACTCTCTGCAAGCAAATGTGCTCGACGAAATTAGGAGGATACGCAAAGAAGAAAAAAAAAAGAAAGTGGGGATGGGTTTGAAGTGGGACGTGGGTTGACGAACCGTGTACAAAGTACAAACGCCGGGCAGTTAACTAAGCCGAGTGGAACCACTCGCGTTTGGGTTGCTAAAAATTAAGGAGTTTTGTTGATTACGGAGGGATCAAACTTGTAAAGTGAGTTTCTTCTCATCCAATCCAATGTGATTAAATGTGATTTTTATTAATATCAGGGGTTGTACACGGTACATGATTTGGGCTCAGAAGCCATTAATGGAAGCTTAAAAGCTTATTGAAGAACAAAAATACAAGAATTCTAGAGAGAGAAATAGTAATGGGCAGAGAGTAAAGAATGAAATTGGCCTCCTCAATTTTGAGGGCAAACCCTTTCTTTTATAGGAAGAAGGGGGAGCATCTACCGGAGAGTATTCTTTTATTTTTCTATTTTATTAAACAGACCCGGTTTGAGTGTTCTTCGTAAATAATTGGAAAATGTGGACCGAGTCATGCATTATTTCCCATCAAGAAGTCCTCCACTTTTTTAAGTTGTGAGAATCATCAACTTAAGAAAGTAAACAAGTCCTATGAGTGCTATCTTCAGTATTCGTACTTTGCATTCTTGACCGGTTGATATTGCTAGTCCTCCGAATCTGTAACACCCTCCGTCCCGCGAACCCGCTTTACCGCGGTCCAACGAGCCGGAGAGGTTACGTAGACGGTTTTAAGGCCGTCTACAAGGAAAACCCTTGCGTTGCTTGTAACGGAAATCCCTTGATATAAATATTATTAAAAGATGGAAATAAGTTCAATTAAAGAGAATGTTTATAGCGGAAGTAAATGTAAATAAAATCGTTAACTCATTAATAACGTAAGTGCTACAACGGTGGGTTCAAGCCCAAAATGTTTTCATAATTTATTGGATAACTAAACAAGTCCCCACTGTCATTCATCCGCCGTTCCGATCACCCAGTCGTCCGGGTCAGGCTCCATGATCCTCTTGCCTACCTGCGTATAGCAAGGGAAAACAACGCTATACGCTCAGCAAAAGCTGAGTGGTAATCTAACAGTAGAACACATAATACATTCACATTGGTATAAACATAATTGTACCTGTACTAAAGTACGGGATACCACATACAAATTTGATGAAATATAGCTTACGAAACCGCCGTGAACGAGACAATCAGTTGAACACATAAGGCGAGAAACAAAGACGAAGAAAATAGAACAAGAGCTAAACGAGACCAAGAACGAAGACCGTAGTTTTAGTGTCGTTGAGTCGGTCACAAATGTGATCAAGACCGACCCAACCTTTGCACTTTGGCTCTTTAGGCTAAAATCCTTTTTATTGCATATCACACATCATCAAAATCTTTTTCAAACATGTTTAAACACATTAAAAACACTTGGTGTTCGCCCAAACCAAAAACCAAGCCATCCGGAGTTCGGTTCTCAGAAACCGGCGTTCGGCATTCTTAGAACACACTTTGTACGATAAACTAAAGTCGTGTTCATTTCTGACAGGTTTTGATAATTGCCAAACCGCCGTGGATATAAAGAGTTTCGTTGAATAACTCAAGGCGTGAAGAATGGCTTGGAACAAGACCTAAAAGACTCAAAGACAAGATCAAGAATTGAAGACTTAGTCGAGTCGGTCTTTTGTGATCAAAACCGACAATAAATTCAAGTCTCGGTTCTCAAAAAAAGGTCAAAACAATTTTTACAAATCATAAAATATTTTTTGTGCATCAAAATAAACATTTTTGATGATTTCTTTCATTGTTAAAATCACTGGTCCTTGCTCGGAACCGAAACCACCTAAGTCGGCGTTCGGCTTTCAGCGTTCGGTTTTTGGCGCCCGAACCAACTCCGTGGTTTTCAATATTTTAAACCTTGTTTTTACCTCTGAGCATTTTTAAAATGTTCCCAAATAATTATTTTATAAAAACCACTTTTGTATCTTGGTCAATCGGTCTAACACGTGAAAAACGGTCAAAACCGTACGCACGTATTATACGACCTTGGAGACTTGGTTTTTACCAAACAAGTCTTGTTTTCACTATTTTATACCATATACAATATTTTCCAAACCTGGTTTTTACTTTTGGGAACACTTCGTTTTTGGACCTCGGTTTTTCAAAACGGGTTTCAGCTGGCTAGACTTTAGTTGGGTGATAATCGATTATCACCTTAGCGACAATCGACTATCAGCCCCTGCAGCTTTGAACTCCCAAAGCTCTAAAGCACGCAATAATCGGTTATCACTTATGCAATAATCGATTATCAGTCTTTGCAGCCAAAACCCAGATTCTTCTGAGAGGACCAATAATCGATTATCACTTGTTGACAATCGATTATCTGGGTTACCGTTGTCCTCCAACGGATAGAATTTTAAATTTTTGGACAAGGAATCTTTTGATAATCGATTATCAAGCTTGGATAATCGACTATCAGCCTGTGTCCCTGAAAAATTTGTCTTCATC